TTAGACGATTACATTTATGCTCTAAGAAGTGCAGACATTTGAATTTAAATATACGTGTTTGCACAATAAACGTGTATAAGACGCTAGTCGTACAAAATGAATACAAGTTTGATACTTATTGAACATATATAGAATGTTTGTTGAGCATAATAAACATACATCAATTACAATACTATGATGATTAATTTTAAGAGCGAAATAATCAAACTCATTTTGTACGCTTGAATTAGATAAAAGGTGTCGCGTTGTTGAATAAGCTGCAATCAAACTTTTTTTTAAAAAAAAAAAAATCCTAACTTTTGAGGCAGGAAGAAGAAGAAGAAAGTTCATATCCAAAAGTAAATCAATGATAGAAATTCAAGATGAAAAACGGAAAATCGATCATTCTGAATGAAACAAAATTAGAAATTGAAAACCCAATTTCAAACAGCACAACATGATTTCTGCTCTGTACAATTCCTGTATCGTCTACTGAAAGTAGATTAGATGCATATGTTCTTACAATTTCAGAAATTGAATACTCAAATCATAAATTTATTCAGCAGGCATATTCAAATTGCTAACGTAAAACTCAATTCTGTAGTCTACTGTATATATTTTATGAATGATTCTAAAGAAATATGATAGCAGACTCAAGAGTGGTGGAAGAACTTACCACCGACATAGACATCACCACTTGGAGACCAGTCTTTGGTGTCGTAGATGGGACTGCAAAGTTGAGAATACAATAAGTATGAGGTTTGTTGATACGGTGATAGTGGAAGAATTACAAACTAAACATGAATAGTAACGCTTTGAATTCAGTTTGATTTTCAAATCAGAGAACTATGAACAAAATCAGAGCCAACAAAACTAAAAGAAAATGAGAAAGATGATGTTCACCTGTAGCCATCGACATTGGCTCCGTACTTGTCGACGTACTGGTAGACTCCCTTTCCCTAAATGAATCAAATTCGAAAACAGTATCAAATTAGAAGTTGCAGAGTAACCAATAAGATAACTAAAACGGAAATTCCATCGATGGAATGAAGAGATTCAGAAATCTGTTTAGCAACCTTGCCCTTCCTTCCCGATGCATCAACTCCATCCCTCAAATTCATCGATCCATTGATTCCTACACGCATTACATCAAAAAACGAGTCAGAATCGTCTCCAATGAGCCAAAAATCGCATCAATCGGTGGCTAATTTTACCGTAGGGTTTGTCGGTCTTAATCTTCTTCCCACCACTGGCCTCGACCTTGAAGAAGCCGGATTTTCTCGCCAGAGACGGAATACCTCTCGCCGCTTTCTCGACGGTGAAAGGAGCTGGTTTGAGACTCACTGAGGTCATCACCGAGGCCGCCATTTCCAATCGATAAGCTTCTTCTTCTTCTTCTGCTTTGGCTCGAAAATTTGCAATGGCGCAAAACAGAGCTCGGGGATTGATAATCTGAGAGATGTGATTGGTAGGTTGACACGTGGCATTCCATGAATGGCGTAATCTGGATATAATCTCATTGTATTATCGGAATCTTTTTGCGAATTATTTTAGCCGCTTCCTACGAAGTTTAAACAATGGCCGTTGATCTTTGCTTCAACGGCTGTGATATTTTTCGCTGTGATTTTTTAGTGTAGCCTTGTAAATTTACGACCACGTAATTCTTTTTTTTTTTTTTCTTTAATTATGAGCACCACATAAATTTTAAAAGAATTTATGGAATTTTATTTGAATTTTAAATGTGATAAAATTAAAAAAAAACAAAAAAAAAATCGTGTAGGGATAATAATATCCAAGAATAGTGATAATATCGAACCATTTTAAATTTTTAATAGTTTTATTTTCTATAATTAATTTTACTTAAATTAAAAAAATACAAAAAAAAAATAATTAATAACATGGCTTTGTATCACATGACTAAGTTTAGGATATGACTTGAATTGTTCATTGGTTGGGAGGAGAACAAACCACTGGGTGTGGAAACCTTCCCCTAGCCCAAAGAGAACAATGCGGTGGATATGGGTCATTACAAATGATATCAGAGCATTACAAATGGTATCATAGCATTACAAATGATATCAGAGCTAGACACCGGACGATGTGTCAGCCTTCTCGCTGTTCTCCGAAGGGGGTAGACACGAGGCGGGAAGTTGGGCCACAAAGGGCCAGACACTGGACGATGTGTCAGCCTTCTCGTTGTTCCCCGAAGGGGGGTAGACACGAGGCGGTGTGCCAGTAAGGACGCTGGGCCACAAAGGGTGGTGGATTTAGGGGTGGTCCCACATCGATTGGAGGAAGGGGGGTGGACTGTGATGTCTCACATTTGATAGGGAGGAGAACAAACCACCATTTATAAAGGGTGTGGAAACCTTACCCTAGCAAACGCTTGAGGGGAAGCCTGAAAACAATATCTGCTAGGAGTGGATCTAGGTTATTACAAAAGTTTAGGACATGACGGCTCTCCACAATGGTATGATATTGTTCACTTTGAGCATAAATTCTCTCATGACTTTATTTTGGGCTTCTCCAATTGATTTCAATTGAGAGAGTATTCTTTGATTATAAACTCATGATTATTCTCTAAATTAGACGACGTGAGACTTTCATCTAAGAATTAACACATGAATTAAACAATAATTATACAATAATAATAATAGAATTTAGTCCAATTATTTTATATTTTGTATATTTTTTAACTTTATAGTTGCATATTAGTTGACCCCTACATCAAACATAAAATATATTAAATATACCATTAATACATTTGTTGATAGATTAATACAATAAAAAAAAAAAACTTTTTATTTATTTATTTTTGCTATACTCCTAATTTTTAAAAATTAATTGTTAGATTTATATATACCACGTCAGCCTTACGGTATTTATTACAGGTCTCAGCCATTTGCATTGAAAGTCAAGAGTCAATAAAACTATTACCACGTGGACAATTAACAGCTTCACACGTGTTCAATGCCTTTATTTTCAAAAATTAGAATGGAATTTATTTTTATATACGAGGCTTCATTTCACACTAATTTTTGACCGTTGAAATTCCATGGTGTTTTGTTCAAATTTGGACTTCCAATTTTGATGAGTACGTCAAAATTACATTTTAAAAAAATTATTATTATTTTAGTTTGAAATTAAAAATTAAATGTCCACAATAATTATTATTCATTTAACGCTCCAAGTTGATCTTAATAACCTGTAATGATTTGTAAACATTTTTTAGTTATTAATGTAACGTGTATTATAAATAAATATAATTTTTAAATAATAATAATAAAAAAAAAAGATAACAACTTAACCATAATTTTTTCAACCAAATTTATTCCGAGAGTAATTCATATTTTTTTATGAGCTCAAATATGGTTTATAAATCTTAATTATTATATATATATATAAATTACTATCGATTTTTACTTAAAAACGTCAATTTTACCAGATTTGACGGAGAATATAGGAGGAGTAAGAAATATTTTTTTAAAGATTAATAAATAACAAAAAATTACCCACGATTACTCGAACCTGCAAATTCTCTATGGAGAATCTCTGTACTGATCCACAAAAAAATAAATAAAAAAATTTCGTGAGGGTAAAGAATGAAATAGGTGGTCGAGATGGAGAAGGAGAAGACTTTCTCGTCCTTGTACGTGGACATCTCTAATTATACCTGGTTTAACGTATTAAATTTGTATTTAATAAAAAAAATGTATGGTCACATGTGAGTACTTGATTCAATTAATATTTAATTTATTTACTAAAAAGACTACAAATCTAATTTTTTAAAGTTCATGGATTAACGAGAGAGGATAATTGACTTATGGAAATTCGGGAAGTGATTTTAAATGTAAGTGGAAATTCCTATGATAACGACAAATTGGAAAATAAAAAATCGCACATTTATTCCAATATTGCCCCTTGACTTTACCTCTTACTAAATTGACATTTGTCATCATTTTCATTTTACTTTCCAATTTTTCGGTTATTTTTTACATTCAAATAAATAAAATATTAGAATATTAGTTTTTATGGTTGGATGAAAGTCCTACATCCTCCGCTAATTTAGAGAATGATTATAAGTTTATAATTAAGAAATACTCTCTATTGTTACGAGGTCTTTTGGGAAAGTTCAAAGAAAAACCATAAAAATTTATACAAGACAATATTATATCATTATAGAAACTCGTGTTGCATTTATTACTCTTTTATATATATATGCATGTGTTTTTTTTATTATAATAATTATTATTAATAATTTAATTATTTCAATAATTTTGTCCCTAAGATATGGTTATAGACAATATTTTACTATTATGGAAAGTCGTGTTCGTTTTGCATTTATTACCTTTTATATATATATATATATATATATATATAATTTATCAAGAATTATTTGCAATTTCTTGACCACAAATTTTAAAGGGTTACAAGCACGTGTTTCTTTTTTTCTAATTATTATAATAATTATTAATAATTTAATTATTGCAATATTTTTGTCCCATCATTGTACATTTCTTGTCATTCTCTTAATTTACTCAATAAATAACATAATTATATTATATAAAAAAATATAAAAAAATAAAATAATAATAATAAACTTCGAGTTTTCGAAATAGGATCTATAGATATTCTTCTTAGATTTTTAATTTTTTTAAGGTAAAATTGGTCGGGTCGATTTTATGAATAAAAATAATAAGAATAAAAATTGAAACAGAATTTAATTAATTAATAAGACATTGAAAAACTATCATATTTTAGTACCAATGTCAAATTCATAGGATGAAAAAGAAAAAAACTTAATTTTTTTTCTGGTTTCAATTTTCAACGAGTGCACAAGACTAAACTCGCACTATTTGACACCGCAAAAGAAATTAATTTGTTCAACCACCCCACGACGAATCAACTTTATCAATTGGTTGGTACAATTGAGGCCGCCATTTGGGGTTTTATTTAATGGAAAAAAATTGGGATAAGGGTCAAGATTAAAGCGGCTAACGATGGAGACTGTGTTGTTTGAACGTTCAAAATAGGCGTACGCGGAGAAGAAGGGAAGAGCCCACTTGCCAAAGCTAAATTTGCTATATAGAAAAGTCCACATACCCTCTCAACGCCCGTCTCTCCTGGATTACTTCTTTTGTGTTGCATTGAGTTTGTTACTCTCTCTACTCCGCCGACCTTCTAAGGTCAGTTTGGCTTCTGGGTCTCTTTTCATTTCTTGTTTTGATCCTGTTTTGTGATCTGGGTCGATCGTTGATTTCTCAGTTTGGATGTTTTCTTCCTCTCGTTCTTCATTTTCTTTTGTTGTTTTTGGAATTTGAATCGAACTAGAGGGATTGGATTAGCTGTCTGATTGTCTATTTGCTTGTTTGTAAGGATCTCGTCGCTTGATCATTCTGTTTTGTTGGGTTTGTGGAGTTTTCTTTGTTAAATGACGTTGAACTTGAAGTTGGAAGTGAATTTTGGGTTCGGAAAACCCAAAAGACAGGTTTGAAATCACGATTCTCTACCATGATATGATATTGTCTAGAGCTTATGCTTATGGGCTTCTCCAAAGGGTCTCGTACCAAGGCGATGTATTCCTTATTAATAAACTCGTGATCATTCTTTAAATTAGCCAACATGGGACTCCTAAACAATCCTCAACAGGGGTTTCTCTAGAGGGGTCGTTAATGCTCACCATTGTCTTTTCATACCATTATATCACTTATAAGGAAACTATCTTAAGATCTAGAAAGTCATCTAGCCAATTCCACTTGAAAGGATTATGCTGATGAAGGGATGTGGATTGCTTGTTGTTGAGCAGTGGCGAGGAACATCTGTCTGTCTGTTATATTTGATCACTAATCTTTGCTGATGTCAATCAATGTTGAATTGTTGTTCATATGCACATTCTTGGGGGGCTGGAATGAATTCTATGGGGTATGGAGCTTGTCATGATGCAAACCTGCTGCATTGTTCATTACTTATTGTCTGCCATTTGTGTGTGTGTGTGCACTGTTCTACTCATATATCTAATTCTGAACTGACTTGTTTTGTTGACAGGTTTCGGTATTGAACGTGGTCGACATAGGACGATTTGAAGGAGCGGAGAACGGCTGCTGCTGCTGCTGCTTTATCGTATAGATATGACTTGCTTCCCTTTTTTGTTCAGTAAGAGGGTAAATCCCCCAACAAAAAGTTTTGTTGATGAAGAAGAAGGTATATTAATCACATGGGCATACATAGCCTCATCTTTTCATGGACATATTTGAAGAGTTTTTTGTGTTGAAAGATGTGAGGAAGTTCTAACATTATTTTTCTATGGAATAGAACTGTGGGGCATCCAAAATGTTAGATTTTACGCTTACAAAGAGCTGAAAGTTGCGACCGAAGATTTCAGCTTGGCGAATAAAATAGGAGAGGGTGGTTTTGGCTCTGTCTACAAGGTAGTTGAATATCTCCTTTAACGTGAACTATAGATAGTCGTTGTGTTTTTGTGAGGTCCCATGTTGGTTGGTTGGAGAGGAGAACGAAGCATTCCTTATAAAAGTATGGAAACCTTAGACACGTTGTAAAAATCTTGAGGGGAAGCCCGAAAGGGAAACCCACAAAGGACAATATCTGCTAGCGGTGGCTTAGGCTGTTACAGATGATATCAAAGCCAGATACCGGGCGGTGTGCTAGCAAGGACTCTGAGCCTCCAAAGGGGGTGGATTGTGAGATCTCACATTAGTCGAAGAGGAGAACAAAGCATTCCTTATAAGGGTGTGGAAACCGATCCCTAGCAGACGTGTTTTTAAAAACCTTGATGGGAAGCCCGATAGGGAAAACCTAAAGAGAACAATATCTACTAGTGGTGGGTTTAGGCTGTTACAAATGGTATCAGAGCCAGACACCGACCGGTGTGGCAGCAAGGACGTTGGGCCCCCAAAGGGGTGGATTGTGAGATCCCACATTGGTTGGAGAGGAGAACGAAACATTCTTTATAAGAGTGTGGAAACCCCTCTCTAGCAGACGCGTTTTAAAAACCTTAAGGGGAATCCCAAAAGGAAAAGTCCAAAGAGGACAATATTTGCTAGTGGTGGGCTTAGTTTAGGTATAATGTTTTTAAGTTGTATCGTTTCCTTCATTCATCATGAATATAACCTTGGCAATAACTATCTATGATCAGGGAAAGCTAAAAGATGGAAAGATTGCTGCCATAAAAGTTCTTTCAGCTGAGTCAAGACAAGGATTGAAGGAGTTCTTGACAGAAATCAACGTCATCTCTGTGATAGAACATGAAAATCTGGTTCAGCTTTATGGCTGCTGTGTGGATGATAATCATAGAATCCTTGTCTACAACTACCTCGAGAATAATAGCCTTGCACAAACTCTTCTCGGTACGAACTGAATCGGGTTCTCGATTATATTTCCTTTTGTACAACGTTTTCCTTTTCAAACTCTCTCCCCCTTTTCAGGATTGTACTGTTAAATTGCAGTTCAATGCTCAAGATTTTGTTTGTTTTTCAGGGCGAGGTCACAGTAGCATCCAGTTTAATTGGCGAACAAGGTCCAAGATCTGCATTGGAATTGCACGTGGGCTCGCGTTCCTTCACGAGGACGTACAGCCACATATCATTCATAGAGATATCAAAGCCAGCAACATTCTTCTCGACCGCGACCTCACTCCTAAAATTTCAGATTTCGGCCTCGCAAAGCTTATTCCAGCCAGCATGACTCATGTCAGTACACGAGTGGCAGGAACAATGTAAGCCACTCCATTTCTGATTGAACTTCTTGGGATTCTGGTAGCTTGTGTGTGAAATTGTGGCTCTGACACTAATATCACAGTGTAGACAGTTTCTTCGTTCGGTTGTCTCGTGTAGCTGAATGTTTTCGTGTTAAAATCATATGTTTTCCAACATTGTTCAACTAATTTTAGCTCGATTTCTTAGCATGTTCTGATATCTTGCATTTGTTAAGATAGTACAACCATCAAAATCTGAAGACATAGGAACACAATAACAAAGCCGACCGCTAGCAGATATTGTCCTCTTTGAGTTTTTTCTTTCAGGTTTTCTTTCAAGGTTCTTAAAATGTGTCTGCTAGGGAGAGGTTTTCATACCCTTATAAGGAATGTTTCGTTCTCCTCTCCAACCAATGTGGGATCTCACAATTCACCCCCTTTGGGGGCCAGCGTCCTCGCTAGCACACTTGCCCGGTATCTGGCTTTGATACCATTTGTATATTGTCCTCTTTGGACTTTTTCTTTCGGGCTTCCCCTCAAGGTTTTTAAAATGCGTTATCTAGGGAGAGGTTTCCACACCCTTATAAAGAATGCCTTCCCACTCTAACCAACGTGGGATCTCACCGTTTTCCACCTAAGAACATTCTTTTTCCGTTTTGTCTCTCTCTTTTTGCTCGTTTGTCTTTGTCGAGGCAATTCTCCTTTTAATTTTGTTTACATTCTTGTTTGTTTATTAGTGGTTACCTAGCTCCAGAATATGCAATCAGAGGGCAGGTGACAAGAAAATCGGATCTTTACAGTTTCGGCGTCCTCCTCGTGGAAATAGTCAGCGGGAGATGCAACACGAATACACAACTACCAATGGGAGAACAATATCTTCTTGAAAGGGTACGCACAGCTTTCACCAGTCCTCCCATAAGTAATGAATTATGATCATGTTGTTTCTTCAAAGGCTTCTTTAGATGAAAAAGTTTGTTGCAGTTTAGATCTTAGAACTCATTGTACTAATGTGTTGAATCTATGTTTGAATGTTTCAGACATGGAATGATTACGAGCGAGGAGAGCTCGTTCTACTTGTAGATGCGTCCTTAAATGGCGACTTCGATGCCGAGGAGGCTTGTAGATATCTAAAGATTGGTCTACTGTGCACTCAAGACAGTCCGAAGCTCCGTCCATCGATGTCGACTGTGGTAAAGATGCTAACGGGCGAGATGAGTATCGAAGATAGAAAGATAACGAAACCGGGGCTGATTTTGGACTTCATGGATCTAAAAGTAAGGGATCAACAGCAAAAGAAAGGGAATAGAGAGGGATTGTCTTCTGGTAGTCTGTCTTCTGGATCCTCAACTGTTACAACTGCAACCTTCACTGCACAATATGACAGGAACACCTTCTCATCTGTGCTGTGAAAGTGGCTAAGATAATTTCATTCATTCTCTTCTGCAATAGAGTTTTGGGGAAAAAGTGTGTAAATTGTTGAATATGTTCTTTATTTTCTTGGGTAAGGAAGAGTTCTTGGAAGGCTTTGTAATATATTGTAGAAATTAATGTGTTTCCTTGCATTCCATATTCCTTTTTTCTTTCTTTCTCCACGGCTATAGAAATCGACTTACAAAAATACTGTTCTTTTTTCCCTGTGCTATGCTCGTGTTGATGATAAATTTCCATGTTTATTGTGAGATTTCACATTGGTTGGAGAGGGAAACAAAGAGTGTGACAACCTCTCCCTAATAGACGCGGGCTCTCAGAGGGGGTCGATTGTCAGATTCCACCCACATTGGTTTCTTGTAAAGGGTGTGAAAATCTCTCACTAGTAGACACGTTTTAAAATCGTGAGTCTGATTGCGACATGTGGGTCATTCTTATCCCTTAACGTTTTCTCAACAAATTTGAACGCAGCTTCACAGCTGAGACATTTGTTACCATCTCATTCTCCGACATCGAAGAATTAGAAGTTTTTCTATACTACCGTGGTATACGCACTACACATGTGTAACATCATCATCATTTAATAAAACATGATGAAGTCGATAGATAAGATCCAAACTTTGTAATAAGGTTTTGATGTTTGAGCATGTGAAGAACAATTATATATATATATATATATATATATATATATATATATATATATATATATATATCATGTTATTTTGCTTCAATGTGGGTTGGATTCCAGTTGTCTTTAGTAAAAATTAAGGATAATTCCGGATCTATAGGACGATGGAGAAATTGAGCCGTTGGATTCAAAGATTTGTGTTTTAGCTTATGATATATTAATATAATTACCTTAAACACCATATTTAATGTTAATAGAAATTAAAAACCAACCGTTAATTTTTGGGCGAAAACTTAAGCAAGAAAACTGAAGTGGATCCCACATAATAATATCATTACTGTAAAGCAATCTCTCCGCCCTCTTCCGGTTCCGGCCGCCTCAGCTCCGTCCATCTCCATTTTCTCTCTCATCCATTTAACACCAAATCTCTGCTCCAACCTCTCTACTTTTTCAAACTTTTCAATAACCCACTTTCTCTTTTCACGAGTTATGTGATGCTTCTAAGGATAAAAACAGCGAGAACAAAAAAAAAAAAAAAAGTTAGGGTTTCATTTCATTTCCCCAATCTGTTCATCCAGTACCCAGATTATTTTCACTTTGATTCCTCCATTTAAAGCTTTGATTCATGTCGGTGCTCCATTCACTCTGTTCTTGTGTTGGGTTCTTCCATTTCTCATGATTCCCAATGCGTTGTTATTGTCGCTGTTCGTTTGCCCCATTTTTCGACTTATGATTTCTTCTCCTTAATGGGTTTCGCTTCCTTGATTCTTGGGTACCCTTCTTGGGTTTCTGTTGATTTTCAAGGATGGTAGGATATGGGATCTTTTGATTGTCCTCTTTTTCTCAGAAAAGTGTTTCTGTTGGTTGCTCTTTTTTGTGTCTTCTTTTCTTTGTGGAAACTTACATGTGAAGCAATTTGCGTTGAATGAACTGAGTACCCCTAATCTGTGATCGAGTTTACAGAGGTTCCTGCTTACTTTAATGTATGGTTGTGCGTAAAGAAGTTTCCGGATCTTCTTGCAGCTGAAAACCCGTGAAGAATTGGCTCATGGGCTTCTTTTTTGTGGTACTCTAAGGGCTTAGATTCAATTCCCATGGGGTGCATTTTAGATTTGGTAGCATTGATGGTTATCTATAACAATAGCGGCGGCTTCTCCAAAAGGGTATCTCTGTGAGGGGTTTGGCTTTGGTTTTTTAGCTGCCATGGAGGATATAGGCCTTTTCAAGCAAGGATGGAAATGGTTTCAGTCGCAGAAGCACACTTACTTGCGTGCTCAAACTGTGTTTTTTAGATTCAGAGACAAAGTTGGGATGTTCATTGAGAGACATTGGCCAATGGTGTGCCGTGGCTGTGCCTGGATTGGGAGTTTACTGTGGCTAGCTGTGCTTCAATGGTGGGATTGCATTATAAAAGGCTTTCGGTCGCTTGTCGGATTAGGCTCTGCTGCATTGCTCCTTATAATGTGGAGTTGCTTTCTTAGTTTAACATCCATGTCCTGCCTGGCTTATGTTCTTCTCAGTATGGTATATTCCTTTCTGTTATTTCGGGCTTTTCATGAACTAGGATCGATAAACTTGCTTGAAATGATAGCGAAAGTCGAGAAGTTGAGTTCTAAATGGTTCGATCAAATGAGAGCTACTAAAACTTTGCATAGGATCTTCATTGTTTAACATTTGTAACTTGAGAAGCTAGAGATGTTTAGAATGGCCTAGGTCTACCCGTCTAGGCTTTGAAAGAGTTAAGCTTTGTACTATGATTCCATCTACGAAGGTTCATACGAATATCGACCACCTTACTTTTCTATATTGTCCTTGGTGGATCCGTTGTTCTGCTACTAGTGGTTAGGATTACATTGAGTGGTTTACATTTTATGACCAGATGATGTACGTTTGTTGTAGAGATCATTGTTAGAGTTGTTTTGAGATATATTGTTCTGTTAATGTGAGATCCCACATTGGTTGGAGAGGAGAACGAAACATCCTTTATAAGTTGTAGAAACCTCTTCCTAGCATACGTGTTTTAAACTTTGAGGGAAAGCCTGAAAGTGAAAGCCCAAAGAGGACAATATTTGCTAGCGGTGGGCCTGGGCCGTTACAAATGGTTTCAGAGTCAGGCACCAGGCAATGTGCTAACAAGGAGATTTTTCCCTGAAGGGGGGTAGACACGAGGCGGTGTGCCAGTAAGGACGTTGGAACCTGAAGGGGGGTGGATTTGGTGAGGGTTTCACATCGATTGGAGAAAGGAATGAGTGCCAACGAGGACGCTGGGCCTAAAGGGGGGTGGATCGTGAGATCCCACATCGGTTGGGGAGGAGAACGAAACACCCTTTATAAGGGTGTGGAAACCTCTCCCTAGAAAACACATTTTAAACCTCGAGGGGAAGCCCAAAAGGGAAAGCCCAAAGAGGACAATATCTGCTAGTGGTGGGTCTGGGCCGTTATAGTTAATAGCTGAAACTCTTTGGTATTGGTAGCCATCCTAGTCGACTTATAACGTAATGGAAGTGTGCAATAATCGGTTTATCTTCTCAAATACTTGACAAGATAATTCGTGAAGATGCTTTATAAGGCCCGACCCCTTCTATTTTAGTTCAATCGTGTAACGTTAATAAAATTAAATTTCATTTCGTTGTATTAATAGCTTAGTCCACTGTTTCAGGGAGCTGCAGGAGTTGCTGTTCAATACCTGGGTTACACTCCTGGAATATTTATCGTGGGGCTCTTCGCTATTCTGGTTTTGTGGATGTACGCTAACTTTTGGATTACAGGGGCGTTGTTTATAGTTGGAGGTACGAACTTCTTTCCATGCGAGAATCGATTTTTTATGGGCGACCGTAATTTGGGCTCGTTGTCCCTTAAGATGCATCTTTTCTTGATTAACTTGTACTCGAGTTCAATCAATTGCTCTATGAATCTTGAACTTTTGTCGGTTGATTCGCGTTTTTGTTTATCGTTTGCTAATATGTAGGTTATTTGTTCTCTCTTAATCATGCACGGTTGGTGGTGTTAATTGCAACTGTATATGCTATATATTGTGTTAAAGTTCGTGTTGGATGGCCGGGTGTCTTTCTCTCGATAAATCTTGCATTTCTGTCAAACGATGCATTAAATTATATGCTCCAATGGTGTGATAAGGCGAGTGAGAGTTCACATTTGGAGGAGCCGAAACAATCTGAAACAGTATCGGAAGACGAATTCTCAGGAGAGTGTGAATACTCTGTTCCTACCGGTGAGTCCGAGAAGGTGCATGCGTGTAAATCATCGACCCCAACTGTTGTGACATCTGTTGTTGATAACCAGAAAGAGGCTTCTTGTAGCAAGGTGACCAAAGAGCAGACCGATTCAGTCGACGAGATGAAAAGAATACTAAATAGTGTGGACCATTACGAAGCACTAGGGTTTCCGCGTCACAAGAAGATCGATGTAATAGTTTTGAAGAAGGAATACCGAAAAAAGGTGATATCATACTCGTTCCCACTTTTTTAGGACACGATTTCCGTTTTTTACATGTGAAAGATAGTCGGGGTGTAATTATGAAATTTAGTTATATGGTTACTGTGAGATCTCACATCGATTGAAGAGGGGAACGAAACATTATTTATAAGAGTGTGGAAACCTCTCCCTAGCAGATGTGTTTTAAAACTATGAGGTTGACGATGATATGTAACGGGCCAAAGCAGACAATATCTGTTAGCGGTGGGCTTGAGCTATTACAAATGATATCAGAACCAGACATCGGGCGGTGTGCTAGCGAGGATGCTGGCCCCCAAGAGGGGGTGGATTGTGAGATCCCACATCGGTTGGAGAGGGGAACGAAGCATTGCTTATAAGGGTATGGAAACCTCTCCCTAGTAGACGTATTTTAAAATCGTGAGGTTGACGGCGATACATAACGGGCCAAAGCGGACAATATCTATTAGCGGAGGGCTTGGGCTATTACAAATGGTGGTAGAGCCAGACACCAGGTGGTGTGCCAGCGAGGATGTTGGGCCCCCAAGGGGGGGTGGGATTGTGAGATCCCACATCGATTGGAGAGGGGAACAAAGCATTGCTTATAAGGGTGTAGAAACCTCTCCTTAGCATACGTCTTTTAAAATCGTGAGGCTGACGACGATACGTAATGGGCCTAAGTGGACAATGTCTGCTAGCGGTGGGTTTGAGTTGTTACAATTACTATCCATGTTCTCTTGATTCCATGACTATATATTTCAGTCATTCTCGGAATTTCTCGACGAAACAATGTACTAAACGTTTTCTTTCCTCTTAGGCTGTGCTTGTGCATCCTGATAAGAATATGGGAAGCCCGTTGGCTAGCGACGCATTTAAAAAGCTTCAATGTGCATATGAGGTAATTTTCTTATTATGGAATGGATACTAATTTCCCCCAGAAAGAGAGCCTACATTATAGCCCGAAAGTGAAAAAATCTTAGCTTTCTGTTTCTTCAATCGTATCTGCCTCGATAGTCGAGTGACTTCCAATTATCTGGTCGTTATCATCTCGTACTCATGTCTA